AGGTTTTCCTTGACCGGTTCTCGTCTAGAGATTGTCTACATCATCATATATGGATTTTTCTATCACTTAGAACAGCTTTTTCTTCTCGAAAGCTTTGTCAGACATCAATTGGTTGTGGCACAAACGACTTTCTCACCTTAACTTCAAGACACTCAGTGAGTTGTCTAGAAATGATCTTATCACTGGTTTTCCTCAACACTGCTTTGCAAAGGAATCTCTTTGCTCAGCGTGTGAGAAAGGAAAACATACTAGAGCTAGCTTTAAGTCAAAGAAAATCTCTTCAGGGACCTCGCCTCTTCAGCTACTGCATATGGATCTCTTTGGTCCTGTGAATGTCAATCTATTGCTGGAAAGAAGTATACACTCGTCATTGTTGATGAGTACTCCAGGTACACTTGGTTCTTCTTTCTCAGATCCAAATGTGAAGCACCTAAAGACATCATATTGTTCATCAAGAAAATAGAAGTACTTAACACCATTAAAGTACGGTCTATTAGAAGCGACCATGGTACTGAATTAAAAAACAATACTATGGATAACTTCTTTGAGGACAAGAGAATTTCTCACAACTTTTCTTCACTGAGAACTCCTCAACAAAATGGGGTCGTTGAAAGAGGAAATCGGTCGCTGATTTCTTCAGTGACAACTCCTCAGTGAGTCCCATCTCCCTACAAATTTCTGATCTGAAGCTGTTAACACCACTTGTTTCACTCAAAATCGGTCGTGATCATTAAGAGGTTCAAGAAGACAGGCTATGAACTTTTCCATGGCAGAAAGCCTTTTATTAGCTTTCTACATATCTATGGTTGCACGTGTTATATTCTCGACAATCGTGATCAAATAGGAAAGTTCGATCCCGAAGCTGATGAAAGAACCTTTCTTGGATATTCTTCAGTGTCCAAAGCCTTCAGAGTATTCAACAAACGCCGACAGACGATATAAAAAAATATTCATGTCACATTTGATGAATCTCAATCAACTAATTCAAATTCCATCTTAAAAGATGAAGATGAATTTGAAAACTGGATGTTCTCTCATTATGGACAACCTGAAGCTTCCTTCAGTGTTCCTCTCAACACTGAAGCCCCAGAAGCTGAAGATGAACCATTAATCATTCCAGTTGCAGCTTGACGGAGGCCGAGTCCACCAAATAATAAATTCCAACTAACGACTAGTTACAACCAAAATTGTAGTAGTGTAAGTCGGGTCGAATCCACAGAGACTCGGTCTAACGTTATACGACTAGCGAATCAAGTACACGGTGAAAACGTAAAAAAACTAATAATCACCG